TTTAAATGCATACTGTATCAATAAGAGGATTTATGTTCTTCCAATTAAGGACTTGGTTTATTACAGTCCCTGTGGCAAGCAGTTTTCTGCATGGTCAGCATTGATGGCCATATTCTTTGAGAGGGTCCAGCCAACATTCCAGACAGGACAGTGTTGTCCATCTTCTACACCTTCAACACCCAATATCAACATGAGGCAGCCAAGACTTTGGAGTTCATTCAACGGAAAAACTATTCCTATAATTTTTTTTTACAATGACATGGTTTTAAAGTTTTAAAGCAAATTATGATTAACATTTGACAAAGGTGGTGATGTTTTCTCTTTATGTAATTAAAAACAGCTTTCTATATATGTTGTACCTGCTGTATTCAGAATGCCACACTATTTATATTCTCAGGAATTTTCCCATTTTTGATTGTGTTTTTTAGTTGCTTCATTGGAGTTAACCCAGAAAGGGGCACAAAAGCCGTTCATGGGAAGATGGTATCGAAAAAAACAGGAAAGATCATTTAAAAGAAAAAGCAGACGGTGAATGTACAGGTTTCCACCCTCATCAAAAACTTGATGGACTTTGAGTGGCATCTCATTCAGATTAGTTGTTTTTCTTTTCTTTGAAACCTTTCTGTTTCCATATCATTTAGGATCTAAATTATATTGTCTTTTCTTTTTCCATGTTGGACGGTGCCTTCATCTGCATCTAATAAAGTAAGTGCCACTTGGACTCTTGAAAACCATTAATAGTTCACATTTTAAAACGCTGTTGATTCTAAAATTCCACATTATTTCAGCCATGTTAAATTTTAGATTTTGGAAGTCATTTTTCTTTGATTTGTTTAGTGATACCCAAAGCATGGATATTTGTTTAAGAACTGTGTTTTTATGTTATTAAGATTGTAGAAATTAATGAGTTAAACCCAGTTTATGTCGCTGTAAACTGAAAGTCTTACATTTTTATTCCAGTGTTAGTGAAACTATATATTGACTTTGAAGGCCTATTTTTTTTACCAGTTCTCTGAGGAATGGTTTTGTGTTATTCATTTTGAATGTTTGAATATACTGGAAATATATGTGGTTTGAGGCATAGTGATGCCTTTAAATAAAAATTCTGTTCTGAAGGTTACTTATCACGTCCTCTTTTGTGTTATGTGAAGTTCTGATTATGCATTTTAGAACCACACCAATTGTAGCACTTCTAAGAAGCCTACACTGGGTCAGGTATTAAAGATATTTCCCACTTCTTCCTCACATTGTGTCTTTAGGAAACTTTCAAAACAAGTTTGAAAGTTGTTTTGAAAGTTTCAAAACAACTTTTNGTGGTTTGATCTATGCGATCAAAGCTAAGCCAAAATGTTTTTGTCTCTATAAATAATAATGATAATAAACAATGACATATTGGCTGCCTCTTTTTTTCTTCATTAGTACGTCATGTTGGTGACTGAAGCCTGTTATGATGACTTCAACACATTTCTTCTGACAGGTTGGTAGAAGAAATGCTGTCCAGAATGTTTCTATAAGCTGACTAATTTCTATAATGCCTAATGTCTGAGTTGTGTTCATGGTAATTATTTCTGACATTTTTATGCTTTATATGTTGTAGGTGGTAAAAAATGCTCTCCAGGGTAAACCGGGTGGACAAAGTATTTTGGTGGGTCTGGTTAGTTTTGCTCACTTCTCTTTAAAATGTTTATTTATTATCCTAATGTGTCTGCTATTTATCCTGTGGTTCCTCCAGGCTGAGAAAACCAGGCATTCTTCTGTTGGTTCATGTGCTTCGTCCTACATCCACGGGCCGCAAGAAGAATCCAAAACAGCTCATGTCAAACTGTGGACCATGTTTTCAGATATGTGCAGGTATGTGGTTATTCTAATGATCCTACTTCTTTGTAGAAGCACTTTCTCATTGGCTTTGTTTGCTATCTGAATGTAGCTGTGCTGCTAAATATATTTAATAATTTTTATTATTCGTCTTCTTATCATTATGTCAAAGATGCAAGCCAGTGTTGAAGCCTTCCTCATTGCCGTGGAACCAGGACAGCCCTTCCTCCTGCATGTTGGTGAAAACAAGAGCAGCACCAAAGACACTTCACCATCAGTGATCACAAGATCATCCAAGGTAGCTTTTGATGAACTTCCAAAACACACTTCACCTTCAGTGCAAATTCCTCTACAACTTCTGTACATTAATCCAGCCTACAGTTTTCAACATTGATGTGACTTGCACGACAATTGAGGAGTTTAAGATCCTTGCTTTTACTTTACCTGGCAGAGTGGACACTCTTTATTATGATGATCATTTAAATGCATACTGTATCAATAAGAGGATTTGTTTTATGTTCTTCCAATTAAGGACTTGGTTTATTACAGTCCCTGTGGCAAGCAGTTTTCTGCATGGTCAGCATTGAAGGCCATATTGTCTTTGAGAGGGTCCAGCCAACATTCCAGACAGGACAGCGTTCTCCATCTTCTTCATCTTCAGCCTCCAATGAGGCAGCCAAGACTTTGGAGTTCATTCAACGGTAAAACCATTCCTATATTTTTTTTACAATGACATGGTTTTAAAGTTTTAAAGCAAGTTATGATTAACATTTGACAAAGGTGGTGATGTTTTCTCTTTACGTAATTAAAAACAGCTTTATTTATATATTGTACCAGATGCATTCAGAATGCCACACTATTTATATTCTCAGGATTTATCCCATTTTTAATTTTGTTTTTTGGTCGCTCCATTGGAATTAACCCAGAAAGGGGCACAAAAGCCGGTCATGGGAAGATGGTATCCAAAAAGACAGGAAAGGCCATTCAAAGGAAAAAGTGACAGTCAATGTTCAGGTTTCCACCCTCATCAAAAACATGATGGACTTTGAGTGGCATCTCATTCAGGTTAGTTGTTGTCCTTTTCTATTCTTTGAAATCTTTCTGTTTCCATATTATTTAGGATCTAAATTGTATTGTCTTTTTCCATGTTGGACGGTGCCTTCATCTGCATCTAATAAAGTAAGTGCCACTTGGACTTACTTACTGAAAACCATTAATAGTTCACATTTTAAAACCCTGTTAATACTAGAATTCCACATTATTTCAGCCATGTTGAATTTTAGATTTTGGAAGTCATTTTTCTTTGATTTGTTTAGTGATACCCAAAGCATGGATATTTCTTTAAGAACTGTGTTATGTTCATTAGATTGTAGAAATTAATGAGTTAAACTCAGTTTATGTCGCTGTAAAATGAAAGTCTTCAATTTTTATTCCAGTGTTAGTGAAACTATATATTGACTTTGAAGGCCTATTTTTTACCAGTTCTCTGAGGAATGGTTTTGTTTTATTTGTTTTGAATGTTTGAAGATATTGGAAATATATGTGGTTTGAGGCATAGTGGTGCCTTTAAATAAAAATTCTGTTCTGACGGTTACTTATCGCATCCTCTTTTGTATTATGTGAAGTTCTAATTATGCAGATTATGCATTTTAGAACCGCACCAATTGTAGCACTTCTAAGAAGCCTACACTGGATTGGGTATTAATGTCCTATCATAAAACTAAGACTGTACTTTAAAAAGTAGCATTACAGTTTTCTTTGCAATAGCTTTCTCATAAAGTGAATGCAGTAGTAAAACTAAATTAAAGTAAAAATACTGGAACACCAGTATTTGAAGGCATATTTACTTTCACCACTGTATTTTACGGTGGCCAACAGGTACAAACACCCAGCAAAGACGAGAAAAGCACATGCAACAAAAATGAGATGCAAACAAAAAATGCTGAAAACAGAAGTGATCTCCCACTAGGGGGAGTCGAACAAAGAACAGCTGTGTCCGAAGTCAGGTTTTGTATCTTTGGGTCCTTGAAGACCAGGAGAGAGAAGCTGTAGCTTTCAGCTAGCTGCTTAGCCTCTACCTTGGCGTTATGTTGCTTAGCAACCGTGACCACGTGAATCACATAGCAGCGAAGGAAAAAAAAACGGACTCGAAGTATGTTTTTTTTCTCT